TGGGTGAGGGTTTGCCGATATGATGCTTTCGGGCATATTTTCTAGTGCTAGTCAAATTTTTTCCCAAAATAGGGAAAATCAGATCAAACAAAAATGATCCTAAAGGGTGAAAAAAGTTTAAAAATATCGATTGGTAAAAAGAAGGCTATATAGGCAAATAAAAAGGGGGAGAGGGGCAATTGAGAAACGAAATATTCATTTTTAAAGAGAGAAAAAAAAAAGGGAATTAGAAAAGCAAAAAGAGATTATGGGGTTTTTAAATTTTCAAGAGAATCAAAGGGGACAAACCCAAAAGGATTCTTTCGGGTATACAGAAGTAAGTCGGGGAAAGATAGGCCCACTCAAAAGTTCCTCGGGCAGCTCACTGACAGTGATAAGGAAATGTTAGAATTTTTAACACTACTTCCTCTCAGTTTTTACACAGGAGGATACCAGCGTTTCCCGTAATGAAAAATTATGTAGAAAGGACGATAAAAACGTGCATATTAGGGTCACAAGTGCTGGTCCTTGGGAAATAGATAAAATTAAAAAACCCAACAAATCCCCAGGCCCCGTGAAATGTATGCAAGGGTTTAAAGGAATGTAAAAAGGTGCTTAGACACCCTTTGGGTAATCTTTTCAACTTTATCAATACAAAAGGCATGGTGCCAGATAAGTGGAAAATGGCAAATGTGTTTCCTTTTTCAAAAAAGGTGACAGGTCCTTAGCTTCGAACTTAGACCAATAAGCCCAACCTCCAAAATGGGAAAATTTTTTTGGAAACAATAAATTGCCCAGGGGGGTTGTAGCCACCTTTAAAAAGCAATAAATTAATCAAGAATCTCAGCATGGGTTTTTCAAAGGGCGTTCCTGCCTTACGAATTTATTAACTTTTTTCACTAAAGGGATTTGAGGAGGTAGATCATGGGAATGAATATGTATTGTTATTGGACTTCAGTAAGGGTTTTGACAGGGTCCCACATCAGGACTATTGGGGAAAATTAAAGCACATGGAATGGAGGAGAAATTTTTTTCCTGGATAGAGGGGATGGTTACAAATAGGCAGCAGAGGTTTTTCATAAATGGGGAGAAACGATGGGGGGGTCCGGCGGTTTTCCACAGGGGTCTGTTGGGCCCCCCGCTGCACAATCTACATAAAAGCATGAAGGGCATAAAGAGCGACATCGGGAAGTTTCCGAGACACCAAATAGGCGTCGAATTCATTCTGACGAGGGAAATTTGAGCACTCCAGGGAAAATTTGAATAGACTGATGCAGTGGTCGGAGAAGTGGGAGAAAGCAGTTTAATTTAGACAAATGCAAAGTTCTAAATGTTGGGCGGACAATAACCCCGCAATATAAAATAAATAATGTAGATCTTAAATTCGGATTTTCAAAAAGATTTAGGGGTTCGGTTAGCAGTGATCTGAAACCAAGACAAAAAGTGCATAATGTTCGCAATAAAGCTAATAGAAAACCCTTTGGGTCATTCGAAGCAAATAAAAAGGAGTCCTCAGGTTGTTCTTCAATCTATACATCCCTTGGTTTGGCCTCATTTTGATTATGCTGCACATTTTGGTCACCTTATTACGAAAGGATATAAATTCTCTGGAAAATGTACGGGGGTGACAAAGTTGATTCCCATGTATCAGAAACCTTCCCCAGGGATTGCTAAGGGCCTGAATTGCACCTCTAGAAAAGACGTAGAAAAAAAGGGGGGATATGATTGAGGTGTTAAATGGAAGACAGGGAAAAAATAAAGGGGATGTAAATTGTGTTGGAAAATATCTAGCCTAGACAGGACTCGCAGCAATGGTTTTTTTAAATTGGGAAAAAAAATTAAAATTCAGGAAGGATATAGGAAAATACTTGGTTTTTTAATGAGTTGTGGTGAGTGGAAAAACCCCCAAGTACAGTTATAGAGGCCCGAAGTTTTGTAGCTTTAAAAAAAGGTTGGATAAATAATGGTGGATTGGGTGGGTGGGGTTAGACCGATGCTTGTGCTACCAGGTCGGTTGCCTGTTCCCCCCCTTTAATCAATGGACCTGACCCGACTAGGGTTGGGGATTGGGTTAAGCCGGTAGGAACTTGGACCTGCCCGTTGGGCCCTTGCCTTCTGCAGTGTTCCTTCGTTTTTGTTTTATGTTCTTATAACACGGTGTTAGGTTTATATGGGAAAATCTGCTCTCAACATATTTAACTTGTATCTCCTGCTATAAATTTAATTTCTTGGAGCTTCCCAATTGGTCTTTGACCCCATTCATTATTGGCGATTACAATGCGAGACACAAAAAACATTGGAAACTCACATTTGGTAATCGTAAATGGGAACAACGTTTTTCATTTAAACTCATGATAATTTAAATTGTAGGTGATCTTGAACCCACAAATCTATGGGGGCGTCCTGATCTGTCCTGGCTTCAACATTACTTCTGCCAGCTGGATCTTCCTTGTAAGTATAGGTCTGATTTTTTAAAAAGGTAGACAGACATGAGGCCAAACTACAGAACCTGTATCACTAACCGTGTAAGTATGCAAGGTCATGAGAAGATCATCCGAAGGAGAGTGGTGGGCACCTGGAAAGAAACAAGGATATAATTGTCAACCAGCATGGATTCAGGAGGAAAAATCCTGTGCACAAACCTATTAGAGGTTTTATGACAAGTGTATATAGAAGTAAGACAGAGAGAGAGGGGTGGGACTCGACTGCATTTTTTTGGACTGTCAAGAAGGCCTTCGAACACAAGTTCCTCACAAGAGGTTAACTGGCAAAACTAGAGGATCACGCACACATAACAGGAAAGGCACTTGCAATGGGATAAGAAGAATACCTTATAGGGAGGCAACAACGAGTCATGGTAAACGTGACGACGTGTCAAAGAGGTAAGTGGTGCCTTGACAAGCGGGTGTTCCACAGGGTTCAGTACTAGGACCTGTGCTGTTCCTTGGTATATGTGAAGACATAAACGAGCAAGGGATAGACCAGAAGTGTACCTGTGTTTTGCGACGATGTGAAGTTATGAGAAGAATCAATCGAATGAGGATCAGCAGGACTACAAAGAGGACCTGGACATGCTACACAGCCTGGTCAGGCAACTGCTCCTTAGATTTTAACCCCGCCAAAGCAAAGTCAATAAGATTGGGGAAGGGCAAAGAAGAACCGCAGACACAAATAAGTTTAGATAGCCCAAAGTCTTGCAAACCTCACTCAAGGAAAAAAGTATCTGGGGTTGAGTATAACACCAGCATATCCTCCTGAGGCACACACCAATCAGATAACTGCTGGCAGCCATACGGGCGCCCTGGCAAAACCTACGGATAGCTTCCGATACCGTAGTAAGCGATTCGTTTAAGCCTGTACACCATCTACGTCAGCGCCCATACTGGAGTAGCAGCACCCAGTTTGGAATCCACACCTAGTCAAGCACGTCAAGAAATTAGAGAAAGTGCCAAAGGTATTGCAACAAGACTAGTGTCAAGGAGCTAACGGGGATGTGTCCTAACGAAGAAAGTTTGAGGGAAATCGGCCTGACGACCACGGAGGCCAGGAGGGTCAGGAGACATGATAACGACATAAAAAATACTGCGGCCGAATAGACGAGGTGGACAAAGACGGGATGTCCAGATGATGGGACACAGACAAACAAGTGGTCACAATTGAAGTTGAAGACTCAGATGAAATCAAAGAGGGATGTTAGAAGTATTTCTTCAGTCATAGAGTAGTCAAGCCGTGGGAATAGCCTAGAAGGGACGTAGTGGAGGCGGGACCATAACATAGTTTTAATTAAGGCGAGGTATGATAAAGCTCATGGAGCAGGGAGAGAGGAGGACCCTAGTAGCAATCAGAGAAGAGGCGGGACGCAGGAGCTAAGAAACGATCCCTGCAACCACAATATGTGAGTACGACACAACACACACACGTGGTGCGTGGCGAGGTGTCAAGTGGGCACCCTGTGCCATGCGGGGTCCCACAGGGGTCCAGTCCCTAGGACCAGTTGCTGTATTCTGGTATTTGTGAACGACATGACCGGAAGGAATAGATTCTGAGGTGTCCCTTTTGCAGATGACGTGAATTGAAGAAAGAATTCAACATCGATCGAAGAACCAGGCCAGAACTACAAATGGATCTGGACAGCTGCAACCTGGTCAAGCAATTGCCTTCCTGGAGTTCAATCCCACCCAAGTCAAAGTCCATTAAGATTGGGGAAGGGCAAAGAAGACCGCAGACGGAGTAACAGTCCTAGGGGGGCCAGAGACTACAAACCTCACTCAAGGAAAAAGGATCTGGGGTGCGTATAACACAGGCACATCTCCTGAAGCGCACATCAGCCAAATAACACAAGCTGCAGCATATGGGCGGCCTAGCGAAACCTCAGAACAGCATTCCGACATCTAATTGGATCATCTCAGGACCCTGTACACCGTGTACTTTAGGCCCATATGTGAGTCTATGTGGCACCATTTGGAACCCACACCTAGCGAAGCTGTAAAGAAACTAGAGAAAGTGCAAAGGTTTGCAACAAGACTAGTCCCCAGAGCTAATGGTATGTCCTACGAGGAGAGGTAAGGAAATCAACCTGGACGACACTGGAGGACAGGAGAGATAGGGGGACATGATAACGACAAACAAAGTACTGAGAGGAAATTGACAAGTTGGACAAAGACAGGATGTTCCAAGTTGACACAGTAACAAGGGGACACAGTTGGAAGTTGAAGACACCGATGAATAACAGGGATGTTTAGGAAGTATTTCTTCAGCCACAGAGTAGTCAGTAATGTGAATCGTTTGGGAAGCGATGTAGTGGAGCAGAGCCATACATATCTTTAAGCAGAGGTATGATAAAGCTCACGGCTCAGGGAGAGTGACCTAGTAGCGGATCAGTTGAAGAGGCGGGCCAGGAGCCTCGGACCGACCCCCGCAACCTCACTAGGGAGTAACAACTAGGTGAGTAACACACACACACACACACACACACACATACACACACCACACACCCACACACACACACCACAACAAATTACCTTAAAATCAATTGCTCTTCTAATTGTATTATCCCAGCGTCAATTTTCCCAACAGTGGCATTGTTCCTCTCGCCTCACTGGAGCAAGTGGCTGCCCTCTAGCACACATACCACTTAAGAACTCACTACTGATACAAAAAATTTTATCTACATTCTTCTCAAAACATCTTATCTAGCAATGATATATAATGCTAATATTTTCTTTATCATTATTGAAATTACGATTACTGCTATTTAGAGGTTGACACAGCACTTACAATATTTAAATCAAGAGCCCCTTACCAGCATCAAGACACCTCCTCCTCCTCCTCCTTAAATTACTGATGTCCGTTAATGTAGGAGCGATAGCTTTATCATGTTAACAAGTGTCTATCAACTTCCTCTAAAAAAAATTTTTCACTTGAATGGGGCCATAGTAGGAAAACTTTTATATTTTATACATTTTATATTTTTATTGGGCACATTTTTGCGAGCAAAGACAAAAAAAAAAATCAGTCTTATTAATATAATATCTAAATGAAATGATCGCAAAATTAAATGAACGATATAAGCTTGATTGGATCCATTTTGTAATTATCAAGATATGATTCAGAACAAAAAGAAATGTGAAAGTAATGGTGATATAATGCAGTGTTACACTGAGTGAAATAATATATAATGATCAAAATGTCATATATAAGCCATCAATGGCTTCTTCATTCCATTTCAAGAATGGTGGAAGGTGAGGAGAAACTGAAGTAATCAAGTCCCCCCAGCTTGGACTCGATATTTCAGTCCTTCATCTTAAGAAAAGTTAGACTGAATGGACTGAACCTGGACGACTCCAGCTGAGGGACTGACTTCCCCTTATCTTCCATCTTCATTCTATCCCCTTCTTTGCTAAGAAATAATTTCGTCCGTTATTCTCCCAATATAGATATTATTTTTCTTTGAAAGTTATTGTCCATCTCTGCGCTCTTCCCCTTATTAATGGTCATTTTTTCTGTGAAGGTAATTTATAAAACCTGTTAATTGGAATCGGTTCGTTTTAAACAGAAGAGTTCTCTAAAAGTATATACTAAAGGAATTACCAATAGACCCCGTGGGGGGTCCTTCAAGGGGAGCTGGACCTCAGGTCTGTACTGACACACCGGCCTGTATTCGAGTCGCCTGGTTTCCATGCAGCTAGCAATAACAGCTTAGCTAATCAGGCTCTGATGCGCACCAGAAGGCCTGGTCATGAACCGTGCCGAGAGGGGCACTGACCCCAGGAACAACACCCTCCAGGTAATAACATTACTGCAGCGAACAATTCCTCAGTTAACACCACATATGGAGTGGAAGCTTTAGTGACGAATATCAGTCTTCTAGGAATATATCAAGGTCATAACAGACTTAATTATATCATTAAATTCATAAAGAAGCGCCAAAATTCGTAATGGGTCACAGTCACAAGGACTTGTTAAAGCAACTTGATAAAGTGGTTACATTCAACAATTATGCTCCAATCTCCAAATTTTGGGTTAGTTGAAAAAATGTTTCCATAATTAAGGGTCTAATTCGACGCAGGACGCCCCGTCTGAACTCTGTTCACATTGTGGCCAATCTCGCTCCAACGAGTACGGGTTCACGTCTTTTGTCGTCAGTGTGGAGACGACCACCTTGAGCATCGGGGAACTTCCTTGCCATCCTCACACTTTCCGCTGGGGGACACCACCTTGGACAGGCGGGGAACTTCTTGTCCTATCCTCACACTGCCGACTGGGACGACCACCTGGACGACCGGGGGGGAAACTCCCCTTGCCCATCCTCACACTGGCCGGCTGTCACAAACTGTCTCAGGTGCGCAAAAATAGGGGCTTGAAGGGACTCGATCGTCCAGTTAAGAGTCTTACAACCCTTGGGTTTACACAGAGGTCTGTTTTTGTCTCTGGAAGACTGTAAGAGGCACAAGAAGATCTGAAGCCTACAAACATCGACGGCGCTCCTGACCCTTGGAATAGAGCCAATGACGGGTCTTAGCTGGTGTGCAGTGAAGGCTGGGTTGTCATGACCACCCTCCAGGAGAGCTACTCACTGGAAATGGCACACTCCCCGGATCTCCTGAAATCAAAAACATACTATCATATGATGAAAATTATGAACACACGTACTAACACTGGGTATGTTTTTATGGTAGACTTTCGCCAACACCAGTGGCTTTATCATACAAATTCAAGACATAATGGGAAGACAGTAGAACTATATACAAAAGATGAGGTAATCAGTCCCTCAGTCTTGTAGTTGGTGAAGGATCACCGTAGTCTTGAAGAGTCTGTACACACATATATAGAGAAAAAGACACATGTGGCAGACAGTTGGAAGCCTTGGAATGCAAGGTATAAAATACTACAGACAACGAATGGAAAAAATAGGCACAAGAATGCAGTCGCCCGGTAGACTCGTCTTCAGTTTCAGTCTTGGAAAAATATTTTATTTCTCAGCAATATTTCTTATACTACTGGCTGATGGAAGGTTTGAAAACCAAGTGTGGTATATGGTATTGATGTTTGATGGTGTGGAGTTTTTGTCGCTACTGTTTGTCACTATTGTTTATGAACCTTGATAAGAGCCCATTGGTGTGGGGGAAACGTTAGTCAGTAAAAGGCTCGCATTATACTGCATTTGTGTATATTTTACCAGTAAGATTCTTTATTATCGAAACGTTACAGCCTACTCATCAACTTCCGTCAGTCGAATATATAAGTGACTTAAATATGAAACCATGCCGAGGCATGAAAATACTTTATAAGCCTAAATTTAATTTCTTCCAAGACTGAAAAGTATTCTTCAATGACAGAGGACTGATCACTACATAATTTAACTCCCTCACTCCTCCCAGTATTTAAGTTCACCTATGGCATTCGACAGAAGAACCTGCTGAGCAAGAGCGAAATATCTCACATCATCTACTGGACGCCATGAAAATAATGAGGCCCTTTAAATTTATAAAGTTTGTATAAGCATTATTAAAATGAAAGATACACTGGACAGAGAAATAGCAAGCATCGAACTTAACAAAAGGAATCTTATTGGAGTCAGGAATCGCGGTGAGGAAGAACTATCAGACCGCCATAACAATGAAATAACGAAAGAAACCCAAGATTTCTTCTCCTATGCCAAATCAAAATCGAGAACAACGCCCATATTGGGCCCCTACGTTAAAACAAGATGGGTCCTACACAGGGAATGACAGCAAAGGAAATGAGTGAGCTACTTCAAGTCGTCAATAAGACTCAAGTTTTAGCAAGCCGCTAACCAGACTGGAGAATCGAAGAAATCAAAATGATTATTTATGAGAGGCCACAGACTTTGGTTAACCACAAGTCTATCCCCAGTATCCTGACGCCAAATGACTTCGAACAGAGCGATAAATGCATGCCAATGCACTCAGCGCCAGGGCAGACTCATGGAATCTCCGTGTTCATCAAGAACTGCAAGAAGCCCCTATCACGACCCATTTCATCCTATGGAAGGGGAGCATGGACACGGGGGTCGTCCCACAGTTACTAAAAAACAACAGACATAGCCTCCACTCCACACTGATCCACAAAGGGGGCAGTAAAGCAACAAGCAAAGAACTACATACCAAACAGACGGCTCAAAACATACTCAACCAAACCCCGCCAATTTGGATTCCAGGAAAAATAAAAGCACTAATGATGCAAATCATAAAAATGCTAGATCTGCATTACACAGCCTTGGAAAATAAGAATATCCCCTAGGAATTTTAATTGACTTAAGAAAACAAAGGCTTTGACACAGTATACCAACGGACATCTACTCCACAAACTGACCACTACGGTATAAGAGTCCAGCGCTTGCTTATTTCAAATCTTACATTACAATAGGGGTATCAGTATGTCCACCATTAAAGACACAGCAATCAGCAACACGGCCCACTTAGAATACTGAGTTCCCGCAGGGAAAGTGTCCTTGGTTCCCTGCCTCTTTCCTCATATACATCAATGACCTTCCAAACGATCCCACACCTGCAGAACCCTCTCTTTGTCTGACGACACACTTTATGCATTCTCTCACCCTAATCTTGCCACCCCCTCAACACCATTTGTGAATGGAGGAGCTGATCAAAATTATCGACTTGGATTGACAGCCAATAAACTTAAACCTTCAACACTGACAAAACCAACTATATTATGTTTGGTAGCAAGAGCAGGAGATGTCACAAATTAACATTAAGATTATGACAAACTTCTAATTACCAGAAATAAATGGGGGCAAATATCCTAAGTGCTGTTATTACCGATGACAACAACCTGAATTTCAGCACCCATATCCAGCATATAACCAAAAAAGTATCCAAAACGGTTGGGATCCTCTCCAAGATACGGATACTAAGTGCCGGCAAAATGCCCTTCTCACACAATACAATCACGTTATTTATCCATCAAGGGTCCTTCACCTATGCTATTTGCTTGGGATCAACTGCAGCAACACACCTAAAGATCCAATAAAAAAACCCAACAAAAGCTGCAGTAAGAATAATCACAATAACTCCTATCCCTGGCAACACACCCCCCCCACAAATCTTTCCATAGACCTAAACTTACTGTCCCCGTTCAGTACATCCCCACTTAACTACTGTTCAGTCTACATCTACAGGACTTAAACTCCAATATCAACCTTGACCTAAAACGCTTTCTTGATAGTTGTGACAGAACCCACAGGCTAACACCAAGACACAAACCATCTCTACAACATTCCCCGTGTCCGACTATACCTTTACAAAAAAATCAATGTATTCAAAGGCCCTAAAATCGTGGAATACCCTACCTACCTGATAAATCTAGAACTGCGAGACACATTCCATCACCTTCAAGTACTAAAATAATTTATTTTTTTTTCTATTATCAAACTGGCCGATGCCCACCAAGGCAGGGTGGCCTCCAAAAAAGGAAAAACCTTTCAACATCATTCACTCCATCACGTCTTGCCAGAAGGGGTGCTTTTAGCACTACAGATTTAACTCTAACCATTAACACCTCCCACTTCAGA